AGGAGAGCGGCCTCAGCTGAACAGAATGCCATAGAGGCCACCCTCCAAAGCAGTTATTTTCTCCAGGAGGAGAGAGAGAGCTGTTGTCTGGAGTTCAGTTGTGATACCAGGCAATACCACAGCCAGTTAGCACTTCAGAGCAGAGTCTGCCAGACCCAGGTTCTTGCTGTAGAAGCTGAGTGGGTGATTTCGGACCAGTCACAGACTTTCAGCCTAACCTACCTCACAGGGTTGTTTTGCAAGTCAAAAGGGGGAGAGAATGACGTAAACTGCTTTGGTCCTATTGCAGGAAAGACTACTTTTCCTCCTGGAGAACCATTGCTGTCAATCTCCAGGTGAGGGCTGGAGATCACTCAGAATTACAACTACTCTGCAGATGACAGAGATCAGTTCCCCTGGAGAAAATGGTGGACTCTGTGTCCTTATACTCTGCTGAGATGGCCCCCCTATGACAGCCAGTGTGACATAGCATTCAGGGCTTCAGAGCAGGGTAGAGGCTGCAGGGAGGAGGGAATGGAAAGCTGAAGTCAGAGGAGCAAATAAAGGAAGGTTGATGACTGGCTGGGAAGGAGATAGGGTTGCCAACTCCAGATTGGAAAATTCATGGAGATTTGAGGGATGGAGCTTGGAGAGGGTGAGGTTTGAGGAGGGGTGGGACCTCAGACAGGTACAATGCCTTAGACTCCACCCTCCAAACCAGCCATTTCCTCCTGGGGAAACATTGTTGCCAATCTCCAGGTGAGGGCTGGAGATCACTCAGAATTACAACTGCTTTCCAGGAAGGAGGGGGGAGGAGATGGAGAGCTGAAGTCAGAAGGGCAGATAACGGCAGGTTGATATGTGAGGGAACCTTTTAGAAAGAGCCAGATAAGAGCATAAGAAGAGACCTGCTGGATCAGACCAATAGTCCATCTAGACCAGCATCCTATCTTACACACTGGCCAACTGGTTCTTCTGGATGGCCAACAACAGGGCAAAGAGGCCGAGGCCTTGCCCTGATGTTGCCTCCTGGCTCTGGGATTCAGAGAATTAGTGCCTCTGAAAGTGGAGGTCCCCCTCAGTCACCATGGATAGTAGCCATTGATAGACGTATCCTCCATGAATCTATCTAATCCCCTTTTAAAGCTATTTATTCCTGTGGCCATCACTACATTCTCTGGCAGCAAACTCCACATTTTAATCACTCTCTGTGTAAAGAAGCATTTCCTGTTGTTCATACTGAACCTACTACCCAACAGCTTCATTGGATGCCCTTGAGTTCTACTATTTTGGGAGAGGGAGAAGAGGTTCTCTTTGTCAACTCCCTCCCTCCCCATGCATAATTCTCTATCATGCCCCTTTTAGTCA